AGCATGCGCAGGAGATTGGCGCGGTCTTTGGACAACTACCCGTAGAATCTACGCCTACTAGTTGTACGCTCTCGGCTACAGCTAACCCGTATGCGTGGAGGTTTGCGGTCGATTGCGCCAGGCTTCTGAAGCGCAGTGAGGAGGAGGACTTCTTAGAGGAGCTCCTTGTCTTCGGCCCCTCCACTCCCGACCCGCTCAATCTCAACATTCGTGGGCTCTACATACCTGGAGTCACAGCAGCTGGGCCCGACGCGGTCCCTCCCCCACCGGCCCCGACGACTTGTAGATGTGAGTTAAAGGATTCGGCTGTAGGAGGAGGAGGAGGAGGAGGAGGAGGAGGAGGAGGAGAGGGAGGAGGAGGAGGAGGAGGGGGGAGGAGGAGGAGGAGGAGGAGGAGGGGAGGAGGAGGGAGGAGGGAGGAGGAGGAGGAGGAGAAGGAGGAGGAGGAGGAGGAGGAGGGAGGAGGGAGGAGGAGGAGGAGAGGGAGGAGGAGGAGAGGGAGGAGGAGGAGCAGGAGGAGGAGGAGGAGGAGGAGGAGGAGGAGGAGGAGCCCCCCCCCCTTGTTACTCGACGAATGGGGTTGCATGCCAACCGGTTGGGGTACAAATTGAGGCGTGAAAACCCGTCGTTGGATCGCACTCTCGCTGATCCTGTCCTGGTCAGCTATGCAGGCTGGTGCGCACGCTCGATCGATGCCACAACTCGGAACGCGGCGGGGCAGGCTGCACACGAGGGGAGGCTGGCGCGCCTCTGGGAAACGAGCTATCTGCACATATGCACGGCATGTGAGGCTGGGAAAAAGGAGGAGCGGCATTCAGCTGGCCAGGCAGCCAATGATAGCAGCCATGGTTCAATCGAACTCGAACGGGCAGTAATCGTCCTCGGAGTCGATCGGGTCCGTGGCAGGGGGAGGCAAGGAGGAGGGTGGGGTCGGTGCCGTGCCCCCGATAGTCTCTCCCTGTACAAACACTACTGAGTGAGAACCTCTAGCCACGACGCCATCTCGTCTTCCAACCATCCAGGCGGGGCTACACCAGTGTGGCGCAGGGCCACTCCCTCTGAGATGAAGGCGTTCGTGACCGTGCCCCGCAACGTCACCTTCTCTTCGTCGAAGCACCTCTCGATGCGGATCGCGGCCACGTCCAGCTCCACGTGCGCCCTCGTGATGAGCGGCTCCTCTCCGTTGGCTGGGACGATCTGCCCCACGCACTTGCCCAGGTCGGCCTTCGCCGTTTTCCACCCATGTCGCACTCCATCAGACTCTCGAGAAGGCCGACCACGAGGCTCGCCACGGGTGAGCCCACCTCGCGCAGCGCCTCGGCGCCGCTCGGGCGGGCCGCCTCCACCTTCTTGCGGTACTCGACCATCACCGCCTCGAGCCTCTGGACCACGCGGTGCATCTTGGGGGGCGTGAACGCGTCGATCGTCGTCGCTGATGATAGACGCTGCCTGAAGGCCGTTTGAAGCGTGAGCTTTGTCAACGTCGCCAGGCACTGCATCATATTCTGGTCTTTCGATGTCCATTTCTTCTCGCTGTGGTTGCCACGCCTGCGTCGCCTGCCGCCTCGGTGACCTTGACCGCCCTTGCCCCCCTTGCCGCTCTTGCCCGTCTCCTTCTGCGCGTCCGCCTCCATGACCCGGTCGCCGCCCCTGTCGCCCCTGCGCGGGATCTTGGCAGGAGGAGGAGCCGAACCGTCGTTCCCAGAGGCGCTGGAGACAGGGCAGGAGACCTTCAGGAGCCACGCGGGACGCGCCGCCGCCGGCGCTGCTGCTGCCGCGCCCGCCATCTTCAGCTGCTGTTGCTGCCTCTGGGACCCGTCGAAGGAATCGGGGGGCGTTCGCGGCTGTCAACCGCGATGTAGTACTCGCGAGCTCTACCCTCGAGGGGTGGTCAACTGGAACTGGGTCTGCACGTGGTAGCCGATGTCCCCGTGGCTGCCGTCGTAGTCACTCAGCTCGTTGTTCTCGAAGCTCTGCCAGTCGCTGGTAGCCCGCTCGGAGCCGCCCTCGCTCTTCGGGTGCATCCTCGGGCCGGCAAGCTGGCGGTCGGTGGCAGCACCTCGCGCTCGAGTGGGCCTCGAGCGCTGTGGGCGGGGCGCGGCTGAGATGTCTTGAGCCTAGAGCCCGACGGACATGGGGGAATATGGGCACGAATGTGTCTTCGCAGCTCCAGCGCGTCTGAGTAGTGAGTGTGGCATTCGGGCTGGTCGCTGCATTCTCCCAATGGGCACCCGGTTATCTCGGAGGGGGTCCAGCTATGCGCGCGCCTCGCCAGCTCCGAAATGCATCTGCCTGACATCCAAGCTCGAAACAAGCGCCGCCGAGCATGATCAGTACTTGCAAAGACTGCGTCGCAATTGATGCACCGATTGTCTATGCATACCTGCGAGAGGACAGGAGGAGCGCCGTGGCCCTCGAGCGTTGTCGCGTTGATCTGGCGCTTGACAAGCTCGCGGTTCGTCGAGAATCTGGCACGGCATCCTTTGATCCCGCACAGTAGGGGGGCGAGCTCCCCATCTTCATTATTGGTCTCCCCCAGCACCTCGTCTGCGGGAAGCTGGTTCTCGAAGTGCTCAGGGGGGGCCCACTCGCATCCCTTGAGCGTCGCGCGCATGGCTCGGAAATCGCACTTGCGGAAAACCTCAGAGGCCTCGGAGTTGATGCTGAACAGGGTACCTAACGTGCGAGGCTCCCAGACGTCCCTTAGTTCCCTGAAATGCGGATGCCCAAGAACCGTTTGGAGGTCTGCATGAAGCTCGCGGGCCCAGGGGTGAACGTGCGGGGAGGGGTTCAGATCGCCGTTTCCCAATACTGTTATGTCCGCTACTGCTGAGCCCACCAAGCGAGCTCTTGACTCGAACTTCCATTCCCCGAAGAAGGCGCCGAGGAAGTGGCAATGATGTTCGGGGATCGTCATGATCGACTGCCACCACCCCAACCGTCTCATCATAAGTTCAACCCCTGTGGGCGGGATCTCCCACTCCTCGAACACGGCCCTGGTGGTCAACGACGTGCGCCTGCCATCCTCGTGTTCCGCGCGTGCCGCGCCAGCCATCATCGCTCTGAGCTTCTTAGCGAGAGAGGTGTCGAGGGCCCGCACTTCAAGGGGGTGAGCACATATGCCCCCATACCTGACCAGACACGGCCTGCAACGTTAGCCAAGAACCTGCTGCGCTTGCTCCTCCAGGGGCCTGGCGCTGTCCAGTAGTTCCGAAGGTTACTCCACCCGATGGGGCCAGCTCTTATCCGTGCCTTGACCTCATGCCTGTTGCGACCGTTAATGTTAATGGACCCACCCAAATGTATCATGTTCATCATCGTCCTCCCCGATACTCTCTCCTCCGCCTCCTTGGTGTCCCTGTTAGTAGCAAGGTGCACTAATGTAGATTGCTTGTCCAAGTGCTGTGCGTACCCGCCCTCGGCCAAGTACTTGTCTAGAATATTTTTGTCCAGATGGTCGAGGCTCAGGGCCTCGCGTGCAGTTCCACTCGGTGCAATCACGATTCGGCAGGTCGTCTATGAAGCTTCCGAACGCCAGGTCATCCCAGCGGTCGAACAGAGAGCTCTTGCATGCCAAACTGTCTCCCACGACCTGTCCGAGTTCACGCTGCCAAGCACTGACGATCGGGTAGAAGGATTCCACGAGCAGGAGAAGGAGAAGGATCGCAGTGTAGCGCTGATGCCCTTGGTCGTGTTTGCGGTCGTGAGTTTCTGACACGAAGGGCCCTGCTGGCTCACCAGCGCATCTCGACCGAGGGGGGGCCTCTCGCTAAGGTCGATTGCACATACTACCACTGTCGCTAACCAGTGCGTCTACTGCCGCCAAACATTCAGGACTCGACGAATGGCTCAGGAACACACACTACGAGCCACACTACATCGTAAGTGTCCTCGCCAGTCGGTTGTTTCATCATCCTGCCCGTGAGCCTGATGAACTGGTCTGCCCTCTTGTCAAGTATCACGGTTGCTTCCACACATGGCGGCCACATCGCAGCTCATTGCTGCTCACTCGACCGCACCTTCGCTTCCCTGGACCTTCTCTCAGAGCACCTGGCCACTCACCCGCCGACGCCCGCCTTCGGCAACGCTCAGCCTGAACCCGCGGCAGCCGGCGGCGGCCGCGGAGCGCTCTCGCTCGAACGGGCGCGACGGGCACGGCAGCGGCGACGTGAGGCACCGCGGTGGCTCCGCGGCTGTTTCCCGCAGTCGCGGAGGGCGAGGTGCTCGGCGGCGCAGCCAGGCCCTCCACGGCAGGGCGGCGCAGGCCCAAAGGGCGGGCGGCGCCGCACCCGCAGGCGGCCACCAGCAAGCGGTCAAGATCGGCAGGATGTGCGGACGGGCTCCAGGCACGATCGACCGACTCCCGAAGATGGGCGCGCAGATGGTGGCGCGGATCTTCCCGGTGCTGATGCGGGCGGTGCTGGGCAACACGTTCCAGCCGCGGGTGTTGATGGCGGCCGAGCTTCAGACGCTCACGGCGGACGAATCAGTTTCGGTCGTCAAGGTCGGCTTGCAGGCGGGCCGAGCGTACGCGACGGAGGCTGCACTCCTTGAGGGCCGCCCACAGCGACGACAACAGCGCCCCGACTCCCGAGGCGAAGATGGGACCTGCGTGCGTGCAGATCTTCCTGGCGGTGTGCGATCAGATATCCAAGGGGGGAGATCGAGCCGGAGCGCGCAACAAGGCGGCCCGGTAGGCTCAGAAGGCGAGGATCGACGGGATCTCAGACCCGACGGACATGGCGATGCTAGTGAAAGGTTTTCGAGTGAGTTCGGCCTTCAAGACGGGCCAATGCAAGCTCGTGGTCGCCTCTCGGACCCCACCATGATGAAAGTGCTCACGGACTGTTTCGTCCAGCTCGGACTCGAGCATCGGCAGGGCATGGCGCCCCGCAGCAACGTGGAAAGGATTTTGCAGATGGCAGTCGACGAGTTCGAGGGCAGCCTCTGAGCGCCCCCCGTGCGTCGACTTCGGCTGCTGTGGGGCGCCGAGCGACCAGGTCGACTCCAATTGCCACGAATGGATCGTTGTCCTCGCTGTCCTCGTTGTCCTCGCCGATTGCCGCGAGCGGCTCGGCGAAACCGTCACCTCCGATTGCTGCGAGCGGATCGACGGCGTTGCCCTCTCCGATTGCCACGAGTGGATCGACGACGCGACCGTCGGTTTCGGCGTCGTCTACCGCACCTCCGTCTCCGTCTGCGCGCTCTGAGAGGGAGTTTGACTTCGAGGCACGGGCCTCCGTTGCCGCCGCCCTGGACCCCCTCCGTCCTCCTACTCCTCCTCCTCCCCCTCCCCGCTGTGCGTCCACAGTATAGCTCGAAAGGCCCTGTCAGAATGTTAACTCGATAGGCTCTGTAACTTTGCTCGTTTGTCGGCCTCCGAGAGGCTGTCGGGTTTTCCTGATATGTTAATTCGGGTCCGAGCTCTGAAGCTGTGGTAGAGCGAGGTTCACTCGGGGCTCCCGCTGTGGGGCCATCCTTCACCCGCGTCCTCCGACGCGCACGGTAGGTCGCAACTGCCGGAGTTATCTCGGATAGGTGGTTTCAAGTCGAATATGTTCAACCTTCGGTCCGACACCGCTTCGCCGCCGACGCCGCCTCCTCCTCCTCCGCCTCCTCCTCTCCTCCTCCTCCTCCTCCTCCTCCTCCTCCTCCGCCTCCGCCTCCGCCTCCTCCTCCTCCTCCTCCTCCTCCTCCTCTTCCTCCTCGAGACCAGTCGGAAGGGCGAGCCAGGCGTTGCGCCTGAGACTTCCTTGCCACTGATGAACCTGAATTTTGAAAACTAGAAGCAGGTTCACAGATGGAGGGCGAGTCGCTTTCAAAATGTGGCTGTCGCCTCGCCGCGCACATTCGATTTCAACAGTTACAAGAGCTTCATGGATTGAGGACAAGTCGTTTTCAATGTGTGGCTCTCGCCTCAGCGCCGCGTACATTTGATTTTAATCATTTGCAAAGATTTCACGGATTGAAGACAGGTCGTCTTCGAAATATGGCTCTCGACTTAGCGCCGCGCACATTCGATTTCAACATTTACAAGAGCTTCACGGATTGAGGACAGGTCGTTTTTATGTGGCTCTCGCCTTAGCGCCGCGCACTTTCATTTCAAAAAAATGCACGAGCATTACGGAAACACATTCGTTTTAAGAAGTTGCCAGGGATTCATGAATTGAGGGCGGTTCGTTTTCAAAATGTGGCTCTCGCCTTAGCGCCGCGCACATTCGTTTCAAACAAATTGTAATAGTTTCGCTGATTATCATGGTCAACATTATAGGTATTGTTGTTTGGAGCGAGTCTTGATAAAAAAGGGCGCAACAATTATATTGTTTCGCGGTGTTGAAGTCCCAGGAATGGCGTTCTGGCACAATTCAGGATCGTCAAGACGCAACAATTGGGCTGGCTCGTGGCATTGAAGTGCTGAGAATGGTGTTTTGGCACGCGTCAAGATTTTCACACGGTTGTCCCCCGACGGCGCACTTCCCTGAGTAGCAATAAGCCCTGGTAGGGGCCAATGAAGAGGGAGCTTGGACAGAGGGTGGATTCCAAGATCGTTGATGAGTCTTGGGTTTACACTGGTACTCCTCTCCCTCATCCTCCTCCTCCCTCCACCGCCCGCCCCGTGTCCAGAGCCCGCGGCAGGGTCATCAGCTCGTCGTTGTCGTGGTCGTCGTCGTGGTCGTCGTCGTCCTTCTGGATCGGCGGCACCAGCCGTAGAGGCCTTCACAAGATCATGGAGCGAGCTGGCTTCGCATGTCCCCAAGCGCCCGGACAAGACTCGAGAAACAGAGGCACGGAAGCAGGGCTACACAGAGGCCCGCTGCCAGACGCTCCTCACGCAGAGCAGACTGCTTTCGCTCAGCGCCTCGGGGGGCTCAGCTACATGGATAACACGTGCAAGCATCATAGGAGCGAGCTGGCTTCGCATGTCAACAGGCGCCAGCGAAGAGACTCCAGGCACTAGGGAACGGGAGCACGTCCAGGCAGAGGCCCCTACGTGACGCTCCTCACGCAAAGCCGATTGATGTCGCTCAGCGCCTTTGAGGGGCTCAGCTACATGGATAACACGTGCAAGCATCATAGGAGCGAGCTGGCTTCGCATGTCCCCAAGCGCCCGGACAAGACTCGAGACACCAGGGCACGGAAGCAGGGCTACACAGCGGGCCCCTACGAGACGCTCACCACGCAGAGCAGAGGCCCGCTGCCAGACGCTCCTCACGCAGAGCAGACTGCTTTCGCTCAGCGCCTCGGGGGGCTCAGCTACATGGATAACACGTGCAAGCATCATAGGAGCGAGCTGGCTTCGCATGTCCCCAAGCGCCCGGACAAGACTCGAGAAACTGAGGCACGGAAGCAGGGCCACACAGAGGCCCGCTGCCAGACGCTCCTCACGCAGAGCAGACTGCTTTCGCTCAGCGCCTCGGGGGGCTCAGCTACATGGGTAACACGTGCAAGCATCATAGGAGCGAGCTGGCTTCGCATGTCAACAGGCGCCAGCGAAGAGACTCCAGGCACTAGGGAACGGGAGCACGTCCAGGGAGAGGCCCCTACGTGACGCTCCTCACGCAAAGCCGATTGATGTCGCTCAGCGCCTTTGAGGGGCTCAGCTACATGGATAACACGTGCAAGCATCATAGGAGCGAGCTGGCTTCGCATGTCCCTCAGCGCCCGGACAAGACTCGAGACACCAGGGCACGGAAGCAGGGCTACACAGCGGGCCCCTACGAGACGCTCACCACGCAGAGCAGAGGCCCGCTGCCAGACGCTCCTCACGCAGAGCAGACTGCTTTCGCTCAGCGCCTCGGGGGGCTCAGCTACATGGATAACACGTGCAAGCATCATAGGAGCGAGCTGGCTTCGCATGTCCCCAAGCGCCCGGACAAGACTCGAGAAACTGAGGCACGGAAGCAGGGCCACACAGAGGCCCGCTGCCAGACGCTCCTCACGCAGAGCAGACTGCTTTCGCTCAGCGCCTCGGGGGGCTCAGCTACATGGATAACACGTGCAAGCATCATAGGAGCAAGCTGGCTTCGCATGTCAACAGGCGCCAGCGAAGAGACTCCAGGCACTAGGGAACGGGAGCACGTCCAGGCAGAGGCCCCTACGTGACGCTCCTCACGCAAAGCCGATTGATGTCGCTCAGCGCCTTTGAGGGGCTCAGCTACATGGATAACACGTGCAAGCATCATAGGAGCGAGCTGGCTTCGCATGTCCCCAAGCGCCCGGACAAGACTCGAGACACCAGGGCACGGAAGCAGGGCTACACAGCGGGCCCCTACGAGACGCTCACCACGCAGAGCAGAGGCCCGCTGCCAGACGCTCCTCACGCAGAGCAGACTGCTTTCGCTCAGCGCCTCGGGGGGCTCAGCTACATGGATAACACGTGCAAGCATCATAGGAGCGAGCTGGCTTCGCATGTCCCCAAGCGCCCGGACAAGACTCGAGAAACTGAGGCACGGAAGCAGGGCCACACAGAGGCCCGCTGCCAGACGCTCCTCACGCAGAGCAGACTGCTTTCGCTCAGCGCCTCGGGGGGCTCAGCTACATGGATAACACGTGCAAGCATCATAGGAGCAAGCTGGCTTCGCATGTCAACAGGCGCCAGCGAAGAGACTCCAGGCACTAGGGAACGGGAGCACGTCCAGGCAGAGGCCCCTACGTGACGCTCCACACGCAAAGCCGATTGATGTCGCTCAGCGCCTTTGGGGGGCTCAGCTACATGGATAACACGTGCAAGCATCATAGGAGCGAGCTGGCTTCGCATGTCCCCAAGCGCCCGGACAAGACTCGAGACACCAGGGCACGGAAGCAGGGCTACACAGCGGGCCCCTACGAGACGCTCACCACGCAGAGCAGAGGCCCGCTGCCAGACGCTCCTCACGCAGAGCAGACTGCTTTCGCTCAGCGCCTCGGAAGGCTCGGCTACATGGATAACACGTGCAAATATCATCGGAGCGAGCTGGCTTCGCATGTCTCCAGGCGCCCGGGAAAAGCTCGAGACACCTGGGCACGGAAGAGAGAACACATAAAGGCCACCACCAGACGCTCCTCACGCGAAGCAGTCTTCACTCGGCCAGCGCCTCGGAAGGCTCAGCTACATGGATAGCATGTGCATCAATCATAGGAGCGAGCTGGCTTCGCATGTCAACAGGCGCCTGAGGGAACCCGAGACACCTGAGGCACGGGCCAAACAGAAGCCCCTAACAGACGCTCCTCACGCAAAGCGAACTGCTATCGTCCAGCGCCTTGGGAGGCTCAGCTACATGGATAACACATGCAAATATCATCGGAGCGAGCTGGCTTCGCGTGTCGCGAGGCGCCTGGAAAAGACTCGAGACACCAGGCGGAAGCAGTGCGAAACGAAGCCCGTACCAGACGCTCCTCGCGAAAAGCAGACTGCTGTCGATCAGCGCCTTTTGGAGGCTCAGCTACATGGATAACACATGCACATATCGTAGGAACGAGCTGGCTTTGCATGTCGCGACGCCCCCAGGTAAGGCTCGGGACACCGGGGCACGGAACAAGGGCCACACAGAAGCCCCTAACAGACGCTCCTCACGCAAAGCAGACTGATGTCGATCAGCGCCTCGGAAGGCTCAGCTACATGGATAACGAATGCAAGTATCATAGGAGCGAGCTGGCTTCGCATGTCGCGAAGCGCCTGGGAAAGACTCCGGACACCCAGGCCCCAGTCCCAGCCCCAGTCCTCCTCCTCCTCCTCCTCCTCCTCCTCCTCCTCCTCCTCCTCCTTCCACCGCCCGCCCCGTTGTCCCGAGCCGGTGGCAGTATCATCAGCTCGTCGTTGTCGTTGTCGTCGTCGTGGTCGTCGTCGTCCTTCTGGATCGGCGGCACCAGCCGTAAAGGCCTTTACAATATTATGGAAGCGCGCTGGCTTCGCATGTCTTCAAGAGCCCGGACAAGACTCGAGAAACTGAGGCGCGGAAGCAGGGCCACACAGAGGCCCGCTGCCAGACACTCCTCACGCAGAGCAGACTGCTTTCGCTCAGCGCATTGGGGGGCTCAGCTACATGGATAACACGTGCAAGCATCATAGGAGCAAGCTGGTTTCGCATGTCAACAGGCGCCAGCGAAGAGACTCCAGGCACTAGGGAACGGGAGCACGTCCAGGCAGAGGCCCCTACGTGACGCTCCTCACGCAAAGCAGACTGATGTCGCTCAGCGCCTTTGGGGGGCTCAGCTACATGGACAACACATG